ATAGCAACATGCTGTCCCAGATGCCAAATCACCTGGTTGGGAAGATAGAAACCATCTCACATTGCATCTAAGAACTCTGACCTGAATGACATTTTCCAGGAAGCAGGTGAGAGCAGGGGAGAGGAAAGAAGAAGGGAGAATTAAGAGCAAAAGTTGGTTTCGTTTAAACGGAAACAAGCAGACCAGCTGACACTGTGCTAAGTGAGCCGGCTCACTTTGCAGGTTAAAGTTTTTCCTTAAACTCATTTTTTTTTTTTTTTTTTTTTGTAAAAGAAAAAAGAACAAGACAACTCCGGGATACAAATTGTGAAACTTGTAATGATGATGTGATACCTTAATTTGGTTAAAATGCATGACAATATAAGTCAGGACAACCTTTGGCTGACACAAATGAGGAGTTACGCTCAAGTGCACAAAAGCTTTCCCGTGAGCCTCTTGTTCCTGGTTTTAATAAGGCTTCGTCTCTTTAAGTGGATTACCAGTAAATTCTTCTACTAGTTAATGCTGGAAAACAAATAGAAAGCTTGAGGTTTTTCCCCACAAGATGGCTATTTCTAATATCAAGATTGTCACAGCCATTTGGGGGATGGGAGTACAAAGGCAAGAGAAAGCATCAGAAAGTGTTTTGGGGTCTGGAAGTAACATGAAGAAACTCATGCTTAAAGAATATGCTTCCCATCCAAGTACTTACCAGGCCTGACCCTGCTTAGTTTCCAAGTATCTTTTTCTTTGAATTTTTGGCTTGCATTTTTACTAAAGTATATTATGTGTGTGTGTGTGTGTGTGTGTGTGTGTGTGTGTGTGTGTGTAAAGAATATTACATATATATAAAGAAATACATATATAAAGGAGAATATGTTTGCAGGTTGTTGATGTACACAGCTAAACAGCCTAAAAAACTGATGTCGTAACTCAAGTAGAAAAGGCCTCAGAAGTTCACTAGTCAAGCCCCTTTCTAGCACAAAAGAGGAAACTGAGCCCCCGAGATTAGAGAGGAATTTGTCTAAAATCTCTTACCTGATCGTTGGCATAGCTGTCTAGTGAACAATCTAAGAGATTTTGGCTACTATTCTTTTCAGCAAATGTCACTGAACTTTAGAGGGACATGGCGTTCTTCTTTTGAATGTTTTCTGTTTTGAGATGATCTAAGAGTTGCAGATTCTATGGGGTTACTTTTTTGGGGGGATCTTAGTTATAAATATTCTTTTCTCTAACTGCAACCTCCTTACAGGTTTCCTCTCTCTTTCTTCCAACTCTATTTCAGTTTTTTTTTTTTTTTTTTTTATTTGAAATAGAGTCTCACTCTGTTGCTCAGGCTGGAGTGCAGTGGCACCGTATCGGCTCACTGCAACCTCCGTCTCCTGAATTCAAGCAATTCTCCTGCCTCAGCCTCTAGAGTAGCTGGGATGATAGGTGAGCACCACCACACCTGGCTAATTTTTTTATATTTTTAGTTTCAGCATGTTGGTTAGGCTGGTCTTAAATCCCTGACCTCAGATGATCTGCCTGCCTCAGTCTCCCAAATTGTTGGGATTATAGATGCGAGCCACCACGCCTGGCCCAGTTACCTCTTTTCCTTCCTTCCCTCCTTCCTTCCTTCCTTCCTTTCTTTCCTTTCTTTTCTTTCTTTCTTTCTTCTTTCTTTCTTTCTTTTTCTTTCTTTTCTTTCTTTCTTTCTTTCTCTTTCTTCCTTCCTTCCTTCCTTCCTTCCTTTCCTTCTCTCTTTCTCTCTTTCTTTCTACCTCACTCTGTTGCCCAGGCTAGAGTGCAGAGATCTCAGCTCACTGCAACCTCTGCCTCCTGGGTTCAAGCAATTCTCATGTCTCAGCCTCCCAAGCAGCTGGGAATACAGGTACACATCACCATTCCCAGCTAATTTTTGTATTTGTAGTCGAGACAGGGTTTCACCATGCTAGCCAGGCTGGTAAACCTGGCCACTTAAACTCCTGGCCTCAAGTGATCCGCCTGCCTCAGCCTCCCAAAGTGCTAAGATTCCCGGCATGAACCACCATACCCAGCCTACCCCTGTTGTTTGCTAATCAATTACAGCAAGACAGTTTTGTGAAATTAGACACATTTCTTAGCTATTTTGTGTCTCAATTTCCACTCTAATACAGAGAAAATAATAGCACCTACCTCATAGGGTTGTTATAAAGAAAAAAATTAGTTAATATATATTTATATAATACTTAGCACTTGGCATATAAATGCTATATACATTTTAGCTATTTTTAGAGACAAAAATATAAAAGAAAGAGTCCTATTCTGAAAAGTTTATGACACCTGTACCTGATAAAGACTTGCTTTGAAGTTAACCCCATTCTTAAGGACTGCATGGTGAGCCTCCAAAATACACATGGAGTATTGCAGGGGAAGGTCTAGGATGGAAAAGAAGGAAGGAAATACCAGCTGGGGGGTTGGGTGAATAAGAAGGCGAGAGATTACAGAGAGGGAGGGGCCCATTTGAAGAGCAAAGAGCAGCAAGTCTTTTGCTCCCGAGGAGTGTGTGTGTGTGTGTGTGTGTGTGTGTGTGTGTGTTCCAGGTATGGTATTATGATCACAACTAAGGCATTATATTCATGTGATGCTCAAATCTCCAACCACTGACCTCTTATCTGTGTAAAAGTTCTGTATCTCCCATAGTCTGAGGCATCTTCCCAGGAATATCCAGCTATTCACTCAGCACAACACGAGATCATTGTCTTAGAGCTACCTCTGTTCAAAAACTCTGCCTGCCATCAGTAACACCTTTCCTCCAATCATTTAGGCGTAAGATCTGCAAATTTATTTGCAACTCTTTACTCTTAAAATTTAAATTGTAATGTATGCTAGGTAAGTGATTATGAGTAGGCTATTTATATTTCTGATCTTTGTATACTTATTTGTAAATTGTAGTCAATTTACTACCATAAAACAGTAGTTGAAAAGAATACTACTGCTACTAGTATTAATAGTAATGTGGTAGAATAGCATTAATATTATTAAGACTAAGTATATAGTATTAGAAATACAATAACTTAGTAGTAATAATAATAATGGCTAACATTTATTCAGTTGTTTGTATTTTCTCATTTAATCTTCATAATCACTCTATGAGGCAGGTTGTATTTTTATCCTTAGGTCACAGAACAAGAAAATGAGGCTATGAAGTGTCATTCACATGTTTAGTAAATGTTTACTGATTCTCTAGTCTGTGCCAGGAACTTTTCTAGAAGCTTGAGATTCACCAGTACAGAAGACAAGGTCCTCGCTCTTATAAAATGTACAGCCGAGTGGGGGAAACCAAATCAACAAATCAAATGATTATAAACTGTGAAGAGTCCTGTGAAGTGAACAAGAGTCTTGTGAGAGGGAGTAATAGGTGGCTTGGCCTATTACATAATCCATGAAGACATCAGGAGCAAGATGACCTCTAAGCTGAGACGTAGGATGAGGAGGATTCAACCCCGAGAAGGACTGAGGGGCAGGTGCCAAGGCCTCTGAGCAGGAAGGAGCTGGCATACTTGAGAGACTTAAAGGCAGGCAGGGCCTGAAGAAAAGTAGGGGTGGGGACGTGGGGGAGGATGAGGCTGGAGGAGGGGCGTGGCCTAGAACACGGAGGTCCCCATGCACCATGGCTAGCAGTTTGGAGTTTTATTCTCACACAGTGGCAAAGCCAAATACAGTGAAAGCTGAGCAGTGAGTGGCTGATCTCAGTTAAAATCTAAATATCCCTCTGGCTTTATTGTGGTGAAAGGCTTATTAACGGCGTATGCGACAAACCTGGGATACTAAATAGGCACCCATTGCAGTAGTTGAAGCAGGAGGTGATGGGGCTGGGACCAAAAGAGCAGGTGGAGATGGATACAAGGGGCTAGGTGGGGTCTATTTTTGTGCTGAGAGTTGTGGAGGAAAGCGAGGAGAAGGGAGGAGACAGAAAGATGTTTCTAGCTTAAACAACTGGGTAAATGGCAGTGCCAATAACTGGGTTAGGAGGACCAGAGTAGCAGAAACAGGTGTTGAGAAAGAGAAATGGGACAGGCAATCAAGAGTTCTCTTTTGGCCATGAAAAAAAGAAGATGATCCAAATGAAAGGTCAATGAGACACTTGAATACATCTGGATGAAGAATCTGGCTGGAGGTAAAAATATGGGATTATCTGCATATACACAGTGTTTATTCTCGTGCAGTGGCAAAGCTGAATATAGTGAAAGCTGAGCAGCGAGTGACTGGTCTCAGCTAAAATCTGAAATATCCCTCTGGCTTCATTGTGGTGAACCATTGGCCTGCAGGAGAAAATAGACTTAAGAGGAGAAGGCACCTCTGGTCTGAGCCCTGCGGAGCCCAGACGTTTCTGGGACAGGCAGAAGGGAAGAACGCAGGCATGTGAGAAGTGAAGCTTGTCCCACAGCACCCAGTGAGTAAGGAACGGAGCTGTGACTGCCTATGCAACGTTTGTGAGGAGTCCGGCAGAGTGCCCCCCCCCCCGCCCCCGCAGCCTCAGTTACTGTAACAGCCTCTTCCACCTCAAGCTCTTCAGTCTGACTTTTAAGGCCAGCTCTGGCTCCTCCCTCTTTCTCCAACCTACTTCGGACACCACAAATGTTCCTAAACACTCCACAACTTACAAAGCTCTAGAAGCCCGTAGGATGCAATTTTATGTAACAGTAACCATTGCAATGATAATATTCGTTCATTCAACCCATTTTGAGTGCGTGCTGTGGGGCCAGGTAAGGAGACTGCAGAGAACAAAGTCTCCGCTCTTGTGGGTTGACATTGGGAAGGGGGCTTCTCTAGTCTGTTTTTTTTTTTCATAGATCCTTTATTGGTCATACTCATTTCTACCTCTCCAAATGTTCCCTCCATCCTTCTCAGCCTCTTTCCTCCCCTCCACTTATCCAAATCTTCAGTTTTCCATAGAAGCCAGACAGGCTGAAAATAGCATGTTACGTTCCCACATGTGGGCGCCGATATATCTAAACATAAACATTACCTTATCACCTCTATGCCTTCCCATAAGGATACCCATCTACCTACTGAGAGACATCCAAACAGAGACATCAACATGGAAACCTCCGCAGAGATAACCAGATCTCCATATGCAAACTCATGCAAAAAGAAACCTAAAGAGACAGGTGCCCAGAAGAAGAGGGGTGTGAGTACAAGCTTTGATGAGTAAAACCAAAGTGTGAATTTAGGGGGAAATGGGTACTGTGGAGAAAATGAACAGGGCTAGAGGAGATGGAGGAGAGGGTACATAAATGATCAACAAAGCAACTTCAGGACAGCCAGACAGAATGTTAAGCTTGGATAGCCCCTAAAGGGCTTTTGGTGGTTTCTGAACTCCCATGCCTGGCCCATTACCTACTGCTAAGATGAAAAGGAGAGGGGTAGCCACGTTCAGAGCTTTTCTCAGGAGCCCAAGTTCAGGGGAAGGCTCCTGCAAAGGTCAGTTCATCTCCATCCAGCACAGGCTATATTAGGGAAATTTCACTGGGTGTTAACCTATTTAACACTAAAGCCTTCTCAACCATGTAGATTAGTCTAATGCTCTCTGATGGGGTTACCTAGGTAATTCTCTCCTCCACTTACCTACGGCTAACAAACAACTTCCATCAGCACAAGTGACCTGGTCAATTAGTGAATTGTGATTAGTACACGCGAAGGCTCATCTTTATGAAACGGTGGGACACCGATTAGTTTCCTTCTATTCCAGCAGATGGAGCTACCGCCTGGAAGGACTCAATGTGCTTCAGTGCCTGATGCCCACTCCTCAAAAAACAAAACAAAACCCCAAACAAGAAGCAGTGTAGAGAGAAAGGAAAATTACCAAAAGGAAAAATTACTTGGTCTAGGATTATTTCGTGACTGTCCAAGTACCTGCAGCAGCGTCTGACCAATAATGCATATTCAATAGCTAGTGAATGAATACACGTGACATAATCTGATGACCAGACGGTAGCTTGAGTTTAGAATAGTAATTCTGTCCTCCTTTTCCTGCTTCGTTTTTCTCTTCTCTCCCTTTGATCTTTGTATATTCATGTCCTTTGGACACCCACCTCCATCAAAATGTCATAGAAAAATTCTGTGAAATTTGACTGTAGGGTCAAACTGATGTCAAATGGAGGTGTGGGGAAGGGCATGTGATAAAAATAGCCCCACTGAGGTTCCTACCTGTTTCCCAGGCCCTAGGCAGTGTTTCTCAAAGTGTTTCCCCAGCCCTCTGTATCAGTATCAGCTGGGTTGTTTGTCAAAAATTCCAATTCCCAGGCCACACCCCAAAGAATCTGATTCAGAGCTTCTGACTGGGGCACTCCAAGCAGTTCTGTAAAACGCAGCTTGAGAATCTCACTCGTAGATTAAGGAGAGCGAGCAATCTTTTATCCTTAATCCTGAAATCTAAAGAGTACTGAGTACTGAAAACTGCTCGATTTTCATAACTCATTTTGGTGGCAAAATTTGATCCATGAAGTGACATCAAACTATAAATGATCTTTCTTTATTTCATATAATGTGGATATTCACACACTTTACTGCAGAAATATTAGTGTGTTTGATTAGAATATGCCATACATCCCCTGACCCTACTGGGGATGTATGATATGTACACTGTATTGACCTGTCTTTCGAAAATCCAAGAATTTTTGAATTCAGAAACACACTTGGTTTTAGTGTGTTTCCGAATTCAATCCACTCTTGGGTTCAAGTAAAGGGCACCTGCACTAAAGCCTCATGTCCAGTCTATAGGTGGTTTTGAAACAGTTCTATTTGGGTCAGATTTTTTTTTTTTTTTTTTTTTTTTTTAACTAACAAAAGGAATGTTGCTTTGGGAGCCAGAAGACATCATCTTTCTGGGCTTCGAGTCTCTGCCCTGAGAAGGAGATGACATTTAAAGTCTTCTGTCTCTAAAATTTTGATTTCCACACCTTCTTGCTTTCTTAAGAAATGTTCAGACATTACTGCCATAAAGATTATTGTGTATTTTTATTTGTATTAAAAATTTAGAAAGGTGAAACTCTTTTTCTTTCTCATAGATTTCCAGACAGATGCTTGGCTGACATTGCTCTCAGTGGTGTGAAAGGACATTTACCCAGATTCTACAGCTATTTTGATAGATTTTATTGCACTCAACAAAACTGCAATGAAACTACGAAAATACAAAAGCAATTTCGAACTCCAGAGAGTGCTATAAAACATTGAGGAAGAGAGTATGGTTTATGTTAATTACAGAGGACTAAAGAGATGTAGAATGAGAGCGCTGAAAAAGCTTCCACTACCAGTGGCTCTTAGAGTGTAAACAGTCCAACAGGCAGCAAGCTGCCTTCTAGCAGAATCCTTGTGATCCCAAAACCCACATGGCTGGGGCCTCTCTCTAGTCCTTTCTACAGTAATTAATGTTTAAATGATCACCCTAAAGCCCTGTCAAGTACTGAAGCAAGATTTTGAAAAATAAAAAACCTCATAAAGCACGAAATACAACAAAACAGTGAGCTCTGAGTTTGCTCTGTTGAAAGCAATGGGTTGAACCCTGTCTTCCCATAATATGAATGTTGAAGTCCTAACCTCCAGCACCACAGGGTGTGACCTTATTTGGAGATGCAGACATCACAGAGGTAATCAAATTAAAGTGAAGTCATTGGGATGGGCCCGAATCTGTTACAACTGGCAATTTGGACACAGACACATTCAGGCGGAACACCATGTGAACATAAAGGTGATCATCTACAAGTCAAGGGGAGAGGCTGGAACAGATCCTTCCCTCACAGGCCTCAGAAGGAACCAACTTGGTCAACACTTTGATCTTGGACTTCTGGCCTCCAGAACTGTGAGACAACAGATTTGTGATCTTTTGTTACAACAACCCTAGCAAAATGCACTGTAACACCCAATGTCTAATCTGATGGCAAAGGGAAGTATCTGCAATCTACATCTTGTACGTTCGGGCAGTCATTTCACCACTGGCTTCATTTATGGCCTATTCTTTGTTTTCCATTTGTTTCATTTTTCTAATTTTATCTTCTATTTTTAAAAAAGTTTACTTTACTAGATGTAACTTTATAAGAGCTGCCTGAAATTCTTCTTAGGTTTAGACATGATATAAATTGGTAAATAAAGATTATCTGACCTTAAGCACATGTAGCTCATACATGGTTGGGATGAAACAACTAAATAGCAAATTAAACAGCAAATAAATTAAATTATAAAATCCAACTCTCCTGGACCATTGGAGGAAGAACTGTAAGGGATGACAAAGATTTCACAGAGCAAAAGATTTCTGCACCGTGGGAAAGAATTTTCAGGCACTGTATACTACTTTAAAATGGTGCTTAAGTCACCAAAACATCAGGGCTGCCTTCAAGTTTTCACAACACAGAGCAAAGAGAGAGGAAGATCACTTCTAGATGGAGTGTAGCAGCGATTTTGTGAAGTGTGTAAGGAACATGACCATTTACTGAGCATCTGCTATATAGCAGGCACTCTGCTGGACATTTGTTATGGAATGAATAATTTAATCCATATAATAAACTTGCAAGGATATATTTTATACCACTCCTACTTAAAACCAATAAATATGAGGCTCAGAAAAGTAAATTAACTCATCTAAGAGCAAGTAATTAGTAAAAAGTTGAGTTGGGATTTGGTATGAAGAAAACTCTGACCTAAACTTGACAACATTTCCGCTGCCCCAAATTGCTTCCTTAAAGTGTTTGGTTCTCTTCAATACACTTCAAAATTATCAATACCTATAGAAATATCTGATATAAAGTCTTAGTTTAAACTAGAACATTTAGAAATTTTAGGCCCAGAGACTAAAAACTATGTGAAATTAGTATAAGAGTATGGTCTGGGTGTGGTGGCTCATGCCTGTAATCCCAGCACTTTGGGAGGCCAAAGTGGGCAGATCATGAGGCCAGTAGATTGAGACCATCCTGGCCAACATGGTGAAACCCGTTTCTACTAAAAACACAAAAATTAGCTGGGCATAGTGGTGTGTATCTGTAATCCCAGCTACTTAGGAAGCTGAGGCAGGAGAATCACTTGAACCTGTGAGGCAGAGGTTGCAGTGAGCTTAAATTCCACCACTGCACTCCAGCCTGGGTGATAGGGTGAGACTCCATCTCAAAACAAAACAAAACAAAAAAAGTCTGTAAAAATGTTTGCAAAGAAATGATGCTACTTTCATAGACCAATGTGGCATGTAAAACATGTGGGCCACAGAGGAAGTTTAAGAAAAAAACACATGCAATCAAATAATAAAAGTGGAGTTACTCCAGGATATACTTTATACCAATTTCTTAGTGAGAAGAGATTAGTAGTTAATTATAGAACCACTTTCTATATTAAGTCTAGATATTACATTCTAATGAAAGTAGGCTGTGGAAGAATGAATAATTACTCTCCAAGACTGATTCTTTTCATCTCATAGGAGAATTTATGATTCCCCAGCTAAAGCCTTTATTTTTCATACACTCTTTGCAGATGTGTATGGCTATGGAATCAGTTGTGGCCAATGGACTATGAGTCAAGATCCTGTGTGACACCGTTTGCTGTGCTCTTAAAGCAAAGGGATGTGCCATCTCATCCCCTGTGCTCCCTTTGTTGGCTGGGAAGCTGGCAGGGTGATAGGAGTTAAACCAGCCATTATGGGCTTCCAGATGGAAACCACTGGTTAAGGATGAGGGAGCAACAAAAACAAGAGCCTCAAGATTGTGTGGCTCATTTACCAGCCTGAGTTGCCTACCTGTGTTTTTGTATTGCAGGAAAATAAAGTGTGTGCTTTTAAAGCCACTGTTACTTTGAGTCTAATTGCTACTGCAGCCAAACCAATATTCTAATGAATAAACTATAACTAAGAATTAAACAGAGCACACCATTCCCCAAATCTCCTGGATATGAAGTATGCAAAAATTCTCCATGTAGAACTGTGTACTTTATTTTGGTATTTATATTATGGTCCATTTTCTCCCAACAACTAATTAGGCCTTGTCATTCCCTTGGTTTCTGAACTCTATTCAGCGAAAAGTCTGCCAAGGGATTCTGGCTTCAAATGTTGTCTTAGGATCCAGAAACCTTGGGTCATTTCTTTTAAGTGCAGGATAAGCACAATTGGGAAAGTGAAGACATCATAGGATGATCTACTGCTTATTAGTGACTTTGTTTATTCCCAAACAGTCCAGAAAGGGTCTGGAAATTTCTGCCATAATCTGAATTATATGAGCCCTTTGAAACCTGGGCAGCACATTGGATCAGGAGTTTCTCAGACTTGTCTGAGGTTTTTAGATATAGTACATGGGCAGCTTCCTGAAGAGGGGTGCAGGGGAAGCATGTGTGTGGAGGAGGTGTTACAACCAGAATTCCCCTATAGTCCCTTTTTCTAAAATAAGGTTTAGAGAAGATGTGGGAGGAGTCCCCCCAAACCACTAAATGTCTCAGTTGTAGAATTGATGACTCTTTGGTGAGCACACAAACCAACAGCTTTAAGTTCTATAGTCCATTTTGATGAAGAAAGAAAAAGTAAAAGGGCATTTACCCAATTTCTGTGGATGATTGAACAGGCTATTGCACTATGCAAAACTAGTAAGTACTAAACAAATACTAGAAAACTTATTGCAGAGTTTGAAGCAGAGTTAGTTTCAGGTAGGATCAGGAATTGCACACAGCCTATTGAATTCTTTGTGTTCACTTTACATATCCCACAGCAGAACACAAGGAGTCAGCCTCATATAATGGATGCTAGAGTTTGGAGGGCAAGGTGGGATGGAGAAGGCAAGGAGACCACCTGGGGATATTAGCTATATCCTGCCTTACAAGAAATGCTATAGGGAGTTCTTCAAGTGGAAACAAACAAACAAACAAAAGGCTAACAACATGAAAACATATGAAAGTATAAAACTCAAATATAAAATCATAAAGCCATAAAACACTGCAAAATAAGAATATAGTCAAATTCAGAATACTCTGATATTGTAATGTAGGTGCATAAATAACTTTCAACTCAAATATAAAAGTTAAAAGACAAAAGTATTAAAAATAACTATAGCTATAGTAATTTGTTAATGATACATGATATACAGTAGAGGTGAATTATGACATCAATAAAGTAAAATATGGGAAAGGAAAGTTAAAGTGTAAAATTTTTCTGAATTGGATGACTTACTTTTACAGTGAGCTTCATATTTTCATATGTTTTCATGTTATTAGTTGGCATCTTTTCATTTCAACTTGCAGGACTTCCTACAGCATTTCTTGTAAAGCAGGTCCAGTGGCAATGAACTCCCACATGCAGCTGAAGTTGAGTTGTTTTCTGCTTAAAATAGACTATTATAATTACAAGATTCTTTATGTAAGCCTCATGGTAAGCACCTCCCCTCCCCAAAAAACTGTAGTAGATACACAAAAGGTAAAGAGAAACGGAGCAAAGCATCCTACCACCGAAAATCATTATATTATAAAAGAGGTCAACAATAGAGGAAGAATGGAACAAAGGAACTACAAAACAGTCAGAAGACAATTAAAGTGGCAGTAGTAAGTTCTTGCCTATCAATCATTACTTTAAATGTAAATGGATCAAATTCTGAAATATAAAGTCATAAGGTGGCTGATCAATGAAAAAAGACTTCATTACATGCTGCCTACAAGAGACTCACTTTAGCTTTAAAAACACACACAGGCTGAAAGTAAAGAGAGGGAAAAAATATTGCATGAAAATGGTAACCAAAAAAGAGCAGGGGTATCTATACGTACATGAGATGAAATATACTTTAAGTCAAGAACTGTCACAAGAGTCAAGGAAGGTCACTATATAATAATAAAGTGACAGATTCATCAAGAGGATATAACAATTTTACATATATATGCACCCAACGTTGGAGCACCTAAATAATCATATATTAAGCAAGTATTAAAAGAACTTAAAGAAATAGACAGCAATAAAATAATAGTAGGGGACTTCAGTACCTGACTTTCAACAATGGATAGGTCATCCAGACAGAAAATCAAAAAGAAAACAGCAGGATTGAACAATGCTATAGGCCAAATAAATCTAATATACATGTACAGAACATTCCACCCAACAGCAGTCGAATACACATTCTTTTCAAGTGTACATGGAACATTCTCTAGGATAAATTGTATGTAGGTCACGAAACAAATTTAAGAAAATTAAAATCCTATCAAATATATTTTCTAACTACAATAGTATGAAACTAGAACCCAATTATAGTAAGAAAATTAGAAAATCCACAAATGATGGAAATTCAACAACACACTCTTGAGCAATGAATGGGTCGAAGAAAACATTTTTTAAAATCTTGAGACAAATGAAAATGGTAACACAACATACCAAAACTTATAGGATGAAACAGGAACAGCTAAAGAGAGAAGTTTATGGTAATAAATACCTACATAAAGGAAGAAGAAAAATCTCCAATAAATAATCTAACATACACTTCAAGGAACTAGGAAAAGGAGAACAAACTAAGCC